ACTAAACTAAGATAAACATACAACCAGAAACAAATTATATGCAGAAAGGAAACCCCAAGTCTACAGTTGCTCCCGAAGTCCACCACCTCAATTATGGGATGATTCGGTGTCTATTCAGGTATTCCACAGATGCAGGGTACATCAAGTTGATTGTGGAGATTTAATCCGGTGCTCCTGAGGCTGCTGGGAGAGATTTCCCTTTCTCTTCTTTGGTCGCACAGCTCCTGGGGTTCAGCTTAGGATTTGCTAAACACCCCCCCCCCACACACTGTGTGTAGGTCGCCTGAGAGTGTCTTTTGGGAAGTCTGAGGTCTTCTGCCAGCCTTCAGTAGGTGTTCTGTAGGAGTTGTTCCACACGTAGATGTATTTTTGATGTATTTGTGGGAAGGAAGGTGACCTCCACGTCTTACTCTTTCACCATCTTGAAGGTCCCTCTCCACAATACCTTCTCGCCAGTGGCCAGGGGAGTGGAGGGCACCTGCAGGTACTGCTTTCATGGGAGTGGAGCTTCTGTGGGAAACTTCCCTGAGCTCAGGGGCAAACTCTCGTAGACTCTGCCTGCTGTGGGCCGCAGGGTGGGCAGGAGTGTGGTGCGGGAGCTGGGGCAGCACTGAGCCCTGCACTTGCCCTCATCCTCTGCCCGACCTAGGCTCCTGGCTGCTCCCACTCCTGCCACCGCCCTGCTCCCAACTTCCCCACTCTTAAGAAGAAATTTAAAGTAAGACTAGGCCCACTTTTTTGGCTGGACTTTACCATTTCTTCAAGTGATGCCTGGAACTATGGCAGCCATTTTGAGACCCTGAGGAGAACTAGCTAAGGACAAGGTCAATAAGCTGAGGATGGAGGAGTGTAAAGATGAGAAGAACCTGGGTCCTTGACAACATTAAACATGAATTAATCAACCTCAGCACCTGCTACCTGAGACTTCCTACAGGAGATATTACGTTTTCCTTGTTGTTTAAGCTAGTAGAGACAGGTTTCCTATTTTATTTATATCAAAGTTATTTCATCAAGAACGAGAGGTGAAAGAAGCTTTATTTTATCGCCTTTAAGAGAACAGCTCATCCTTAAGCTGGGAGTGAGCTGTATATACATTCTGCTGATAATATTTATAACCCATTTTACTTGTTTGCATAATAATATTTAAGTCCTCTGCTATTTGGACATGTGCATTATTTCTAGAATAGTGGGTGTCAATAAACACAAAACATATGCCAAATATTACTGAGAACAAATCCTAGACAACTCAATATTTTGTGTCGCTAAATGTGAGGAATGGGAAAGGCTTCTTGCAAAAGGTGGTATTTAATCTGGACTTGGAAAAGTTGGAGGTGAGCTTCAAGGGCATTCTAGACAATGTGGGCCCCCAACCTGCTGAACTGTATGTCATGGGAGAGGAAGTGCAACAGTATGATTTGGGGGTATATAACGGTAGACAGATAAGGCTGGAGCTGGTTAGGTACAGATTGTGGGTTGTCCTGAATGTCTTGCTAAGGAGTTTGGGTTTCCTTTCCTCTGTGGTGGGAAACATTAGAGATGTTAGAGCTGGTCATCACTTATTGATTCTGGATGAATTGTTAAAGCATATAGTATATATTAATATTTTACATAGGTTTTTGGGCATATTTTAATAAGTGTGCATGACTTTAATGAAACAATAAAAATCAATTTTCCATTCTAATTTGGATTCTATGTTTTAAAGCAATTGCCAAGGGAAACAAGTAAGTGACTGGTTAAGTAGCCATTGCTTTCCAAACGTTCAAAACCAGATGCAAGTTCTCCAGAGAGACTACTTGAAGGCCAGTAAACAACATTTCAAAGGCAGTTAAGTTCAGACAACTGGATGTGTGCATGCAGGACAGTTAGAGAGTCTGATGCCCTGGGAGGGAAGGGATGCCTTGCCTGTGTAGGCAAAGAGATGTCTTGATGGAAAAGGGAGTCGAGGAAAAGCTGCTTAGAGCCTTGAGACTGAATGAGGTTGGTGCCCAGTAAAAGAAGTTGGAATTGTGAGGTTCCCTTTGCCCAGGAGCAGAAGCTCTTCAGTCATTTTACTGATGAAGAAACGGAAACAGAGTGGGGAACAGACATGACGAAATTTCTCAAGTTTTCATTTGTTAACTTCTTTACATTTTCTCTTGTTCCAAAAAGGAATCAACCTTAAATATAGTCCTGAATAATCATGAAGCAGCATGATTTCACTGCTGGTAGAGATGGGACTAGAAAGCCACTTTCCTAAACTTTAGCCCTCGCATGAATCGTACTAAATCTTGCAAATCTGTCTCCGTAGAGTACCTTTGCTGCTGGTTACCAGGTAGTGGACACCGCCCAAATAGGCACAGGGCTAAGATACAATGTGGCAAGGAAGCATTTCCCAGAACCCCCCCGCAGATGTCCCCCCTACCTGGCGTTGGCCAGGACTGGTCACGTGCTCTTTTCTGTACCAAGCCCTGGACAAAAGAAGGGGTTGATCTGATTGATTTATACTATTTAGGATTCACCCTTCAGTCGCAAGGGATGAATGGCTTGGGGGGCTGGGGGACGTAGGGGAGAAGGAAGAGGGCATGGGACAGCAGCCTGAGCTGTAAGAAAAGCCCAGAAAATTGCGGAGTGGTTGAGAGCACAGGCTCTGGAGGGAGGGAGGCCTGCTTTCTCACCTGTGCTCCACGCCTTCCTAGCTGGGTTACCCTGGGCTCCTTGCAAGGCTTGGCTAAACCCCAGTTTCCAGGAGAGCACTAGGGTCATTGTGGCAAAAATAAAATAATCTTGGTAAAGCAGTGGGCATAATGTTTTGTGCATAATAAACCTTCAGTAGATGTTTATTATTATTGTTATTGCTGCTATTTTTATTATTAATAAAAATGACCTCGCTCCTGCTTCCCAGAAGTTCACAAGGAGTCCACACGGAATAACCGCAGCTGTCTCTCGCAAGGCAGGAGGTGACTTCTTGCCAGGAGTCGGTCCTCCCCTTTTTCTCTATGCCAAAGGAAGGAGAGAGGCTCTGGAAACAGCTTTTCCTTCTGCACACGACTTGCCCCCATTCCCATATGGACTGCTCAAATAGGCTGGGGGTTTGGGAAGGGGTTCTGTACGGTGACGCAGCAACGTCCTGGTGGCGGCAGTACCCTAAGGTCTGAAGAACAGGGAGTAGCACACCCCCTCACCTGCTTGCTCAGTGGGTGAAGATGGGGTGCTGGGGATGCTTTCGTCCAACTTAATCACCAGGGGAGTGGTGGTCGGGAACCAGTGGGGTCCAACCTCTTCTATCAGGGTTCAAGATTAGGAATCCTACGCACAGAGTACTCTCTTTTTCTGGCATTTCCATACGTTAATTCGATGACAGTTAAGAGGCAGGGCATTTTCTTAACATTCACGAGCAAATCTTAGCAGATTAGCAATTCCCAGTCGCCCACACCCCGTGGCGTCCCTAGCCGGGCTGGCCGGCGGGTCGGCGGCGGCGCGGCGGCGACGCTGCGGCGGCGCTGCGGCGGCGCGGAGAGGGGGCGGCACTGCGCGGTGCCCTGGGGGAAGGGGGACGCTGCACGGGGTGTGCGGAGGAGGCGGTGCTGCGCGTGGCCCCGCCTGAAGCCGGCTGCAGCTGAGGCAGGCGGCGAGACGGATGCGCCGTTTGCATTCGCCCGCAGTCATTTTTATCCGCGGAGGTAATGAAGTTGTCAGCAGCGCCCCGAGCGTGGCAGAGCCTTATATTCAAATAGGCCTGCCGGGCCCCGGCCTTCGCCCTTCCCCCGCCCCCTGCGTCCCGCGAGTACCCGGATGAGCGCGGCGCCGCGTCTCCCCTGCCAGCCGCCAGCTTTGTCTGTGGCTCGGCAAGCACCCGCGCCCGCTCCAGCTCTCCCTGTCTTCTCCCTCTCCTTGCACCCCCGCCCCCTTTGTGCCCCTGGGAAGACTCAGCCTCAGACCCCAGCCACCCCACCTGGGCTGACCCCCGTGACCCCGCAAGCCCGGCTGACGGCACGTTTGGGGGGGTTAGTGGCAGGGAGGCCGTCACCCTCACACTGGGCGCCGTCCCCGCTCCTTTTCCCTCACCCCAGCAGCCCCTCGCTCTCCTCTTCAGCTCCATCTCCAAGAAAGAGGACTTGACACTGACAGTATCACTTTGGCCTAAAGTTCTCTTCCCTTTCTGAAGGCTTATTTGTGGTCCTTTTTAGGATTACAAAGCCCCAAACAGACCTACCCGCTGAGGCGGCTGAGAAAAGGCGGTTCGGCAGGTGCAGCGCTGTCAGGAGATGAGACGGCAAGCCAGACACACACCTGCTTTGAGACAGGTAGTTGACGGGGCACAGTGAATGTTTAAGGTGCTGGGATTCGTTTCCCTAGGCCTCTGCAGCTGTGCGGTCCCCTGGGGCAGCCACTGGACACGTGTGGCTCTCGAGCACTTGAAATTTGGCTGATCCAAATGGAGATGTGCTGTAAGTGTGAAATACAGGCTGGATTGCGAAGACTGGAAAAAAGAATGTAAACTGTCTCATTAACCATTTTAAAATATTGATGGGTTATTGAAATGATAATGTTTTGGATATACTGGGTGAAATAAGATATATTATTAAAAATCTATTGTCTGTTTCTTTATACCTTTTAAAAATGTGGCCACAAAGAACATTTAAAATGACATACGTGGCTCACATTATATTTCTATTGGACAGTGCTGGTCTAGAGGCTTCATTAAGACCCAAGACCCTTCCCTCTAACCCTCTCACCTTACTCTGCAGGTTCTTTGGAACAGGGCATGGAGAGAGAGAAGGTTCTTAGATCTTAAGCATCAAATGCCCAGGCAGATAATTAGGAAGTAATCAGATTATTGAAAACGTTGACAACACAAGAGTAGAAGCAGTGGCTTAGGTTGCATGAACTGGCTGTTCCTTTCCCTTTGTTCACTGTAAAGAGAGACCCACGCTCTCGCCACAGTCTTGCCGCGATTCCCTGGACTAACCGTGATTCCCTGGACTAACCATCTGTGTGCAAAGTTGGGCCTCTAGGAGTGCTTTGTGCCTTTTAGGAGTTATTTGTTGCACACTAAATTTGCTGACATTCCATTTAGAAGAGTGAATACTGTGTATGCACTGTAACAGCTACTTCATAAGTATTTTTGGTGTACATTGTTCCTCAGCACACACAGGGCTCCCGAAGTATGCATTGACACGATGCGCTGCCAGTGATGCGGGCCTGGGGGAGTCCCTCAGTGTGCATCGACTCCACACACGGCCACGGCTCCTACAGGGCTCTTATGGCGCAGCCTGCCAATGATCCGTGCATTAAAGACTCCTGGAATATACATTGACGTGGTAGACTGGAGTTGTTTGGGTCTACCATGCCGATGATCCGGGGATAATTGCGGTGTGTTATGTACTTTCACTGAGATTGGAGTGTGCGTGGTCCTAATGGCAGAACCAGAACTGCCCCAGTTAAGCCCTGCTGTGACTCCCTGTGTGGGGTGCATGGACCTTCGACCTCCTGCGTCATGACACTGTGGCATTGCTAATGTTTGCGGATGTTTTAACTGACTCAATTGAGTTAGCATTTTTTTTTCCAAAAGTACTTTCTGTAATTCGGTACCTGGATTGGGGATCCATGTACTGATGGTTTCATCTGGTTAATCATAAGCTAAAGATCTTGGAAAGGTCATATTTAAAGCAGAAAAAGTGGTTTAGAGAGAATAAGTTTGGGAGATGTGTATGAGTTTGAGAGGGTTAATATGGAATAAATAACCTAGTCTTGAGAAAACCTAGTTGCTTAAACTGAAATAGATAGAACAAGGAGGTGGTAAGACGATGGAAGAAATCATAAAATATATTCAATAGAAAAATAATTCAAACACTGCAGAAGTGTATCAAATAAAAAAATTGTCCTCCTGTCACTTTCTTTCCATCCACTGTTACAATCTCTGTTAATATTTTTTGTATATTTTTAGTAATTTTTATACATATACGAATAAGTATATCTATTCTTTGTTTACACAAGTGGGGTATTACCAAACCTTAACTCTCCAGTGCCTTGTTTTGAACTAATAATATATTGAACATCTCTCCTTCTCAGTGCATTTAGATCTGTTGCATCCTTTGTAATGATTGCATGGAATTCCAGGATATGGATGTAACAATTAAAAAATTTATGCTACTTCAACCATCACTGCAGTGAATATCCTTATACATTTGCAGATTTGTGCATACATGTTCACGGGATAAATTTTTAGCAGCGGAAATGCTGGGACTGAGTACATTTAAAATGGTGATAAATATCGCCAAGTCGATAACCAGAATGATTGTACTGCTTTATACTGCAACTAGCAGTATGTGTGCCTATTTCCCCACTCCAGGTCAACGCATAGTTTTTTCATGGGAGACACTTCTAATGTGTGTGAATGAATTTTCCCATGGTGTTCTCTGTACAGCTTTATGGTGAGAGCCCAGCACTGGGGGCTGTGATAAATGCAATGAAGTGAGGAAATCAGGACCACAGGTAGGAAGTCTCGTTAATCAAGATAAAAAACGATGGCTCCACAAAACACACTGGGATCGGTTGAATTTTGGTAATAGCTTATCAACATGGGAGAATTGGAATTAGATCACGTTAATTCATCATTCAGCAGATATTTGTTGAGAAGTTATAAGTGAATTCTCCATTGGATTGTAAGCCCCTTGAGAGCAAAACTGTTGTCTTTTTAATCTCTATGGCTTCAACAGAATTATGGAATGGGGCCAGGCCTAAATTTTTTTAAAATCGCTGTTGTTGTCGATTTGCTTGTTTTAATTTGGCCATTTATTGTCCCCATATACCTGGTTCTACCTGAAGTTGGATTTTCAAGATGGCTGACATTTTATCCTTGCTCCCAGCAGCTCACAGTGGAAGAGACAGCGGGATGTAAACCAGTCTGAAAATTCACATAGTATGGACAAAGTGAACATGAGCAACTAACTGTGGTGGAGTAAATAGTTTCCCCGAAATCTGATATTTGAGCTGGATCCTGGAAGAGACCAACAAGGATGGACTTCTAGACAGAGGCAGCCACAATAAAGGGATGGAGCTTTGTAGGAATGCTGGTGTGAATGGCTCACAGGGAGTGTGTTGGGAAGAAGGGGATCTGAAGGGGAGGCACCACCTACTTACAAGGAAGCATTGAGTCAGGCATCCTGGAGCATCAAGGGAATGACATATAGAGAGGGAGTGGGCTTCTCATTCAGGCTTTATCTCTGAATTGTAGTGGGGCATTTGGAAGTCCTGAGAATCCTGTAGCTTTAAAGTGCCTCATTTGTGATATGAGCCTAGATAATTTCTAATATTTTTATCAGCTCTAAAATCCAGTGGCCTTTGAGCTATAGGACTTGAACTTGCCTGCAAAGACTTTATCTTCTGTGTGTGATATCTTGGGGTGTTCCTTTAAGATGGTAGTAAATGGCTGGCTGTAATTTGCTGGAACTAACTACCATGGACATGTACCATGATCTCAAAGTCTGCATACAGTTTTGCCCCCACCCCAAAAAAGGGTTACTAATGAGAATGAAGAAGAAAACAAAACAATAGCAGGCAGTATAAGTCTTTTGATAATTACTCTTCATATGCCACTAAATCCTATCTTCACTGAAAATTGAACAGACACTGCTTAAAAGGTTTCTCTGAAGTGTATTGCAGAATTGGATGTCAAGTGTCCTGTTTCTTGGGATTCGTATGCTGCATGAATTTCATCGGGTTTGATAAGCATGCCATCCATGTCCTTGTCTGTGGCAGAGGGAAGCATTTTGATTGAGACAATGTCTAAGGACAGAAAGAACGCTGTGGTCTATTGATTAGAGACCTTCCTCCAAGCTGACACCTTGAGAATTATTACCCAGCCCATCTTGCCCCAAAGAACGAGGGACTTGCTTAAAGTCTGTGCTGACTTCCAGATGAACTTTGCGTAATTCCCCCAATTTTTAGGCTCAGGGTTTTCCAAGTTGTATTGGAGGCTATCTAGAAGCAAATAAAATAAACACAAGCAGACTGCCCATGGGACCAAACACATGGCATGATAACAACTCTTGTGACCAGTGACTCGTCTAAGATATGGGAGTTTGGTGAAATTATTGAAGAAGGATGTTTTGCCAGTCCTATTGGGCACTGTTCAGAGTCTTGAATTCTACAAATGCAAGCAAGAGATCAGAGAGGCTTTGCTGAAACCTCACAGAGTCAAAGCCTGTGCCCCACACGTTGATACTGGGGATTTCCAAAATAGCTTCCTGTGAGATCATCTTATGTGTGGAATCCGTGGCAATGACTTCCAAGGGAGACTCCTGACTGATCCCAATTTGATGCTTTCTTTGGCATGGAGTGAGGCCTGGGCACTGAGAGTAAATTTTTAATTTTCTCAGAAATCAAACAGCAGTACAAGGTTGTTGAGACAGGAAGAGTGAAATTTTTACTGCCTGGGTGAGCAGGTGCCAATCCCAAATCATTATCAGGACTTTGGAGACAAGCAATCCCTGTTCAGACAGCAGTCTTTTATCAGTGATCCACTCCCAGATTCAAGATAACGGGTAAAGATTGTTTTGGAAGAATGGTAATTGTGAAGGAGTGTGTCCTTCAACCAGTATGAGGTAGAACAACTGGCAGAGCATGTCATATATATCATCGGGTGGTAGGATGCTTAGGTATTTCTATACCAGTGAAGACCAGGAGATCCAAAAGTGCCCAACTGGGGGCCATGAGCACCAGATGAAAGTAATGCTAGTTGTTAGTCCCTGACTGGTAAGACATCATGCTAAAATTTTTTCATGGCCATTTACCAAGATTAGGTAACCTCATGGTAGTTGTAGAGCTGATATTTCTGGAGCTATGTTGTGATTGTGGAGTTTGGCTCCTTTCTGGGGAAGCATAGGGAAGAACAAAATTACATCACTCGCAATTAGTTTCCAAAATTCGTATGTGCTTATGATCTAGCAAGGTAATTAGACTGTATCTTGGTGCTCAATAAGAACTGATCAAACAATGATTGAAGAAGGAAGGAAGGAATGATCTAATGTTAGATAAACAATAAAAAGGTAATAGTTGTTTTTATCTAGTACAATAATACGTATGTATGAGGAGAGAAATGACTGCAAGCTTAAACGTGTGGGTTATAGGACCCAACTACTTGTCACTAAAAGTTGAAAGAAGAGAAAAAACAATTAGAAAGAATGATCCATTTTTAAGGCCTTCACATCCTTTGAAAAACCAATTATAGGAAGCTGTCTCAAAGTAGACTACATTTAAGTCTAGACATGTCATCGATTGACTTGAAATCTTAAGTTTCTAA